ATAGGTATTCTATGTTAAACATGTAAAATTATGGTAGTTGAAGATTGCTATAATTTTTTAATTTTAATTAAAAAATTATTATTATTATATTAAAGCTGCCTGGTAATAGGTGTTTGTTCTCATGGTTACATATGGAAATTATATCTGATCATATTGTTTTAAAGTATTAAATATGCTGGGGGGGGGGTAATAAAGATTGTAGTGGATTATATGTTAATAGTGGGTGTGATGTGTAAGTGATGGTGCTGTGTGTAGGTGGTAATGATAATATTGATAGTTAATAGATATTGTAAGGTGGTAAAAGTGATTACTAATGGTGGTGCAATTATAATAATGATAGGTGCAATTATTTTGATGGTATCTTGAAATTAAATTGTGATTGTTGGTGGTTTGTCTGTTTTATCCGTTTGGTATGAATTCGGATAATAGATACTTGTTCTCAAATACATTTGGAGATTATCTCTGATTTTTTGTAATATAAAGTTCTTTTTTTTTGTGTGATATTATTATTTTTTTCGTGTATAAAAAGTAGGCATTTTTTCGTAATGTTGTTGTAAAGGGGCTTTTTTTTTTCAATATTTCCCAACTTATTGTTGGTGTGATGTTTAAATCGATTTAAAATATAATATTTATTATGAAAGTGTTGTATTGTAACAGAAAAAATGTAAAACTCACGGACGTTGATATAAAAAATAATATAAGCATTGCCGCAAATCCCTTGTTCCACAACAATGAACCATGGGCAAAGACACAAAACCACAACCTGTTTGACGTAACAATGGGTAGCTACGATGGAGCAGAAATATGCGAATTAGTAGGCATACTCATCCTATCATACCTGGCCAGAATCCTGGAGAGAAAGGACACAGGATTATACAGAGATGACGGTCTTTTATTTTAATAAAATAAAATAAATATATTAAAAAGTAGACAAATTCAGGAAGAAAATAGTGAACGCCCTAAAAAACATTGGATTCATAATAGAGATAAATACAGGCACAACTATAGTAAACTTCCTTGACGTCACTCTTAACCTGATCAACAACACATATGAACCATACAAAAAGAAAATGACACACCAACTTACGTACACACATCCTCCAACCATCCACCTTCTATCATCAAACAAATACCAAAATCAATCAACCGCAGACTATCTGAGAACTCATCTAACATGCAAATTTTCAATAGCAAAATAGCACCATACAACGAAGCACTAAAAGCAAGTGGTTACACACAACAACTACAATATATACCTCCACAGCCAAAACGCAGAAACAGAAAGAGAAACATTATCTGGTTTAATCCACCATATAACAAAACTGTTAAAAACGAACATAGGCAAAATATTCCTAAACTTAATAGAAAAACACTTCACTGAAGAAAACAAATTATCAAAAATATTTAACAAAAAATAACGTAAAGATCAGTTACAGCTGTACAAAAAACATAACAGATATAATCAAAAACCACAACAAAAAAAATGACAACCTACAAAAAATGTAACCAAGGATCCTATATGCAACTGCAGAAACAGAGCAACATGTCCACTCCAGGGAAATTGCCAAATTACGAACACAATATACAATAAAGGCCAAGGTAAGTACAAAAACAACAACACTATGCACTACATCGGTGCCACTGAAGGTCCATTCAAGATGAGGAATAACAATCACAACCTTTCATTCAACAACAGGAAATATTCGAACAGCACAACACTTTCTACATACATATGGCAGCAAAAAGACAAAAACATCACACCAACAATAAGTTGGGAAATATTGAAAAAAAGCCCCTGCCTACAAACAACAACATTACGAAAAAATGCCTACTTTGCCTACACGAAAAAGTAGCAATAATATCACACAAACCGCAAAAAGAACTTGCTAAAAAAAAAAAATCAGAGATAATCTCCAAATGTAGGCATGAGAACAAGTATCTATTATCCGAATTCATACCAAACGGATAAAACAGACAAACCACCAACAATCACAATTTAATTTCAAGATACCATCAAAATAATTGCACCTATCATTATTATAATTGCACCACCATTAGTAATCTTTTTTACCACCTTACAATATCTATTAACTATCAATATTATCATTACCACCTACACACAGCACCATCACTTACACATCACACCCACTATTAACATATAATCCACTACAATCTTTATTACCCCCCCCCAGCATATTTAATACTTTAAAACAATATGATCAGATATAATTTCCATATGTAACCATGAGAACAAACACCTATTACCAGGCAGCTTTTTAATAATAATAATAATTTTTTTGTAAAATTAAAAATTATAGCAATCTTCAACTACCATAATTTTACATAGAATACCTATTATCAGGATTTATACCAAAATAAATTAATACATATAACAAAAAAAAAAAAAAAAATAAAACACCAACAACCACTTTTTAGTTCAAGCTACCACCACTATAACTACATTCATGGTTTTATCATTCTCCCACCACCGTTACTAATCATTTCTACCAATCTGCAATTTCTTCCAGTTTACAATAACTATTAGCTAAAACCTAAATAGCATTGTCTCCAATCCTTTGAAACATTACTATCACATCATATCATATAAACCCGTTATTAAATTAAACATCACCATATAAATTAAACAATAAGGATTACAAATTTTTACCTGTTACATATACACAGTCACAAAAAACAAACAAATAACCAGCTTTAAATATAACAAATAAACCATTTTTTTTTTTTTTCAAAAAATTAAAAAAATAAATATAAATAATTTAATAATAAATTTTTACCTATCATAATTTTACACAAACCCCACCACACATATATACATACATGCGAGAAAATATTTTTCAAATATTTTTCAACGAAAAAAAAAAAAAAAAAAAAAAATTTCATAATATGACATGGATACATTCACGAGACAATAACGAGACATTTCCGCCACACTTCCAATGTTTAAATTTCAACATTTCAACATACAAATGCGTATGTATAGACATAACACCACCCGTATACATACATGTGTCATAGCCGAAACTGTCTACATATGTTTATATATATGTATGAGTCCCGACGGACGACCAAGTATATATATGTATATGTGCCTGCATACATCGATGTTTGCGTTAGTACGATGAATGACAAAACGACGAAATTTCCCCCCACCACTTCCAATAATAACACCAATACACGCAATCTACATAAACCCAAATTTTTTAAAACATTAATCAGTTTGTCTGACGATCGCTAAAGCGTGAAACCCAGGGTCACAAACTCACATCTATCCAACCAAAAATATATCTATCTCTGATATTGAGCGCTTTCTAATAAGTAATATATATATATAATATATAAATAATTATACATATATAAAATAATTTAAAAATATATTTTTGGTAATTTTTTTTTGAAAAATATACTGAGGGTTATAATGTGTTCCTGGTAATAATTTTCCATGAACGTATTGCTGGTACTAAAATCTATTTTTATACATTCATAGTTTTTTCCTCCTTTGGAGTGTTAACGATTTTCCCATACCTGGGACCCTGTCAGGTGCAACCACCACGCGTCGGGGTGGACCTGGGAACACCAGTAATTAAGAGGTTGTTCCACTCTCCTGGAAAACACCTGATTTTGTTGCCTTACCCAGGACGGGGTGTATACACCGCATGCCAAATTATTAACGAGATAACTTTTTTTTATAATAAAAAACCGTCCAATCAATTCACACAAAATTTTCATATAACAATGTTAGCAACACTGACCTGCGCAAATCACTGAAATTTTCGTACTGATCTGCACAATGTAAACAAACTGGCGCTATATTTGTTATCAGCACGGTGCCAAATTATTAGAAAATCGATTATATATATATATATATATATATATATATATATATATATATATAGATATTTCAAAATTAAAGTAATGAAATTGAAAATAAAATCTCAACAGAATGCAGAAAAGCACTGGACGGCGCACTGCTGATGATTCCCAAATATAGGACGAAACGGCCGTCCAGTGCTTTCTGCATTCTGTTGAGATTTCTATCAGACTCGATGAATTAATTAAATATAATTATCAAATCCTCCTAATAATTTCGATATCATATATATATATATATATATATGTAGTGATTTTCGAAGTGTAGCTCAGATGTGGCATAAGGCCGAAAGCATGGGGCACCCAGTGAGGATCGAATCAACTATCAGTCGTAATTGTTCTAGACAAGACAAATTTTCTTAAATTATTATATACACACATATACACACACATATATATATATATATATATATGTGTAAAAATGTATATAATATAAACAAAAATATTCTGAAAAAATAGGAAAGAATACGTTAGGTTAATGATCCGAAGTTCTTCAGGATTTTTGATTTTATTTTGAAAAAAAAAAAACAGTACTCGATACACAAGTAGAGCCTAAATTATAACTATATTTTTTTTTAAATGTTTACATCGCTACATAAAAATTTCCATGTTTCAAAAACAGAAGTGAAAAACTCCCAATTCAATTATAAAAATCAAATTGAATTAAAGTACCTAAAATTCGCTTGAGGATGAAACAGAACTAGGTACTTTAATTTAATTTAATTTCTATAATTGAATTGGAAATTTTTAGCTTCTGTTTTTGAAACATGTCAATGTTTATGTAGCGATGGAAACATTTTTTTTAATTAATTAAAATATATATATGTATATATACATATATATTATATATGTTTTTATATGAATGAAGATTGTGATAGATAGATTTAGATAGATAGATAGATAGATAGATAGATAGATAGATAGATAGATATTTTTGATTTTGATGTTAAGAGAACTAACATAGATAGATAGATAGATAGATATCAAATCAAAGACTGAGATAGATAGATAGATAGATAGATATCAACATATATATATATATGTGTATATATACATATATATATATACATATATATATACATATACATACATATATATATATATGAATAAACTTAGATAGATAGATAGATAGATTTTATATATAAAAAGAGATTGAGATAGATAGATACATAGATACATAGATATGAAACAGAGATAGATAGATAGATAGATAGATAGATAGATATCAAAAGAGACTGAGATAGATAGATAGATAGATAGATAGATAGATAGATATCAACAAATATATATATATATGTATATATACATATATATATATATACATATGCATACATATATATATGAATAAAGTTAGATAGATAGATAGATAGATAGATATCAAAAAAGGCTGAGATAGATAGATAGATATCAACAGAGATAGATAGATAGATAGATAGATAGATAGATATCACGAAAAAAAAAACTCATTTTAACATTTAACTTCGTTTAACATTTAGCATCAAATGATATCCAAAATGGCCAAAATATGCGCGGGTTTATTTGCAAGACACAAACGGAAACTTTTTGATGATTCCCGATCGTCTTTCGATATTTAAATATAATATCTTTCTTCTTTTCCTTCGTGCCATCGATTACAAAAACGTGTTAAACTTCCACGATTTAGCCGCGCAGGGATTTGCCAAATGCTTTAAATGGCCGTCTTCTCCGTTTCATTAGATTTCTTTGCCCCGCCCTGTCTATCTATATCTGTGTCCCGATATACACCTACATCAAGAGTTCTCTTTTCTACTACTTGCTCAATGTACCACCCCCCGCTCTATATATCGATCAGTCTTGTTATTAAATTTATTTTTCTTTTCGTCTACCTTATATTAAATCTCCATATATATATATATATATATATATATATATATATATATATATATATATTTACAAATTCATGAATTATTCAAAAAAAAAAACAAATACAAAGGTTAATGATTTAATTGGCGAGAAATCCATCGTCGCGAACAATTCAAATAATATACAAAAACCCCGAACCTGTTTTGAAATGAAAAGATCCTTGTTTTTATAAATTTCTGTTGCATTAGTTCTTATTTTTACTACAAGCTTTCGTCTGTTTAATTTTACAGACATCTTCAGGTATGGAATAGATGTTGTTCTTGTTTTTACTCTCAGTAATAAGAGGACAACGAAAATATATGTATTGTTGCATCCGAAAATGCTATTGAAATGAAAGTTATTTGTTTTGGAGCGTGCAGTAGCAACGCTGAGTTTGATTTTAAATTTTTACAATTGTGCGTTCTTGTACAAATATGGTGATAAGTGAATTTTTTTTTTACTGGTAAATTTTCTGTCAAAGTGGCATGAACTATATTGTTCAATAATTACAATAATATTTCGCACTTATTATCCAAAAGTTGCACTTGGATAGTTATTTTAATTTCAATAAAGGTGCAATCAATTTATAAATTCATGAATTATTCATACAAAAACAAATACAAAGGTTAATGATTTAATTGGCGATATATCCATCGTCGCAAACAATTCAAATAATCTACAAAAACACCGAACCTGTTTATGAATGAAATTGTTTATTGAAATTAAAATATCTGATCCAAGTGCAACGTCATTTAGACGACAATTTATCCATCGCACCCTGTATACCTGTTAAAATGAGATGTCAGCGTGATAAATTTTTACGGCATTTAGACGACAATTTATCCATCGCACCCTGTATACCGTATATACACGCGGATAGACGCATCGGTAGGTAGTTTGCACCCGTAGTTTGGAGTTGTCAAAGTAGCGATTTGCGGTGGATAGGTCGCACTATAATCTGGGGAGTTACATGGCCCTCCTTTAACGTAAATATCTATCTATCTATATTTCTCATGTTGTCTGTCTGTTTGTCTGTCGGGCGTTGTTACCGCGTTTTTATCTGATTTCTCTACCTGATTTAAATGCGGTTTTCAAACAAGTTTGCAAATGGCTTGTAAGGACATGATGGAGCCCGATTTTGAGTTCGGAATCAGGTTCCGAAAAATCGATAAAAAAAAATTCTATTTACAGAAGGAATAATCGCATTTCAACCAAATTTGACTGTCCCTCTTAGAAGTGTTGTCCAGAAGTTTCATGACCACGGACCCCTAAACAGCGCGGAAAATCGATAAAACCCAAAACTGATACGCCCAGATTGCGTCTGAACCGCATGTCGGTTTTAGCGAAAATTGAGCGGATTTATGAAGAGGCCATTGGGATCATCATGTGAAATTTTTCAACCTGAGCATCCCCCCAAACAGAGAGCAAATCGACAATCGGTCAACCCCCTAAAATGTTTTTTCCGGTAAATATTTCCAAAATAAAGAAAATTAATTTAATGTCACGCAGGAAGAAACAGGTCAGTGCGTGCAGTGCTGTATGTGTCGTACGATTTTTGAATCAAGCACGGGCAACGCCGGGCCATGCTTCTAGTGACTAATGTTTATTAAATAATATTTTTGAAACTCCAAATTCTCTCTCTGCAGATCCGTTTCCATGTTCTTCTGCATAATTCACCACTTCCAACTTAAAACCGACTTCATAAATCTTTCTATTACTCACGATTAGGGT